TTGTCTCTACAATAAATTAAAAAAATTAGTCAGGCATGGTGGCGCATGCCTGTAGTTCCAGCTACTTGGAAGGCTGAGGTGGAACAATCACCTGAACCCAGCAGGTAGAGGCTGTGGTGGCCATGAGTGTGGCACTGCACTCCAGCCTGGGTGACAGAGTGAGACTCCAACAAAAATATAAAAATAAAAAATACTCTGTCTCAAGTATGTTGTTATAGTAGCACTAATAGAGACCATGTTATTTTAATGTGCTGTTAATTTTTGTTTTGATGATTCTAAGACTCTACGATGCCAAGCTATAAGTGGTTATGCATCTAATTTCAAAGAGTGGATATCATCAGGTTCTGAGATGCAGGGATGAGAGGTGTGGGTTTTGAAAAGTTCTGTGGCCTAAAATCCTGTAACAGGTGTAAAAATGCAAATGCTCTTCTGGGCCAAGCAGGCGGTATGTGGGGGCATCCGATGTGAAAGAATGGGGAATGTAGGGACTAGGAAGGGAGGGAATGTCTCATCTACAGGAAGTGATCCCAACTCGGCTCCCATGAACTACTGCCCCATGGTGGTAGGAGGTTCAGCAATCAGATCTCAAAGTCTTCAAGAGAAGTCCGAAACCCATTTTTAAATGTGAAATTACTCATTTTCACATACTGTAAAAACTGGCCATTTTTACATATTGGTAAAAATTGGCCAATGTAGTTTTTAAAACTTCAATAGTTTGGCCGGGCATGGTGGCTCACACCTGGAATCCCAGTACTTTGGGAGGCTGAAGCGGAAAGGATTGCTTGATCCTAGAAGTTCAAGACCCACCTGGGCTAGGCAACATAGTAAGACCTCGTTTGTCTCTACAATAAAATTAAAAAATTAGCTGGGAGCTGGATGTGGTGAATGCCTGTAGTCCCAGCAACTCCGGAGGCTAAAGTAGAAGGAGTACCAGAGCCCAGGAGGTAGAGGTTGTGGTGAGCCATGATTGTGTCACTGCACTCTAGCCTGGGTGACAGTGAGGCCCCATCTAAAAAAACCCAAAAAAGCCTTCAATAGCTATGTGGTCAGATGGTGGCTATGAGCTGCCATTTCTGGTGTGTGGCTTTGTGGCTAAGAATGTACACCTCACATCCGGTTGCCTGGGTTCAAACCAGAGCTGTTTTAGTGCCTGTGTGACTTCTAGGAGGTAACTCAACCTTTCTGTGACTCTGTTGTAGCAGCTGTAAATTGGTCATTTACAGAAAAGAGCCTCCAGGCCTCTAAGGATTATTATAAGCACTCAGACTATATTATGAGAAATCAAACTTGGGGAGAATGCCAAGGTCAGTATAACGGCCCCCATCGCTTGGCTCTCTGCCCTTCTCTGACCTCTTTCCACCAGTCTTCCAGCCTTGCTCAGCTCCAGCCTCGCGGCCCTGAGTGCTCTTCCACCAACATCTCAAGGCCTCTGCAATTACTATCCTGAGACAGCCACATGGCTCAGCTCACTCCTCCCCTCCTTTAGGCCTCTGCTCTGACATCACCGTCTCAGTGAAGTCTTCCTAACCACCCTACTTAAAATTACACACAGCCCCCCATCTTTCTTCCTTTTTCTCCACAGCATTTGTTACCTTCTAACATTCTATACATTTTACCTATTTTATTTAAATATCTGATTACAGTCTTCACCATCATAATGTCACCTCCACAAAGGCAGGGGATTTGTGTCCATGTTCACAGCTGTATTCCCAGCTCCCAGAACAGTGCCTGCCATCTTGTAGGTGCTCAATAAATCATTGGAGAATGAAGAAATAAGTAACAGCCCCCACCTAAGGATCCAATGTGACTGTCCGTATAAAGCACTTAGCCCAGGGTCTGGTCTGCTGTGAGCGCTGACTTAATGATGGCTATTACGGTAATTCAGGTTCTATTCTCCGAGATTCTCAGTTGCCAAGCTTCTATGAGTTAGCACATGTAAAGAGCCTCAGAACGAGGCTTGGCACATGGTAAATGCTCAGTAAATGGTAGCTATCATTATAATTAAGCTTCTATTTTCAAAGCAGACTTGGTGCCAAGCTTCTGTGGGTTGGTACATCCCCGCTCAGAGCAAGAGCACAAGTTTCGACCAGGCTGTGACGAGCTGGGCCTCTGCTACCCTCGGACCTCATCCCTATGACTCTGTCCTTGCTCATTCCCTTCTAGCGGCCTCCAGCCTGGAAAGCGTGTCCTCACTGATGTGCATGGCTGCCTCCCTCCCTCTTTCAGGTCTCTTTCGCCATCTCGGGGAGGACAATAGTCTTCCTTCCAGAGCTTTCTCCCTTTGCTGCTTTACTGTTCTCCACAGCATTTCTTACCATCAGCATATGCTAGATCATTTATTGTCTGTCTCCACTGGCAGCCTCCAGCCACCCTCATGTAAGCTCCATGAGGACAAGGACTTTGGTTTACTCACTGGTGTTTTCTCAGGACTTAGCACACAGCAGGTACTCAAGAAGCATTTGTTAAATGAATTAATGGATCACAGCCCCCACCTCACAGTTATTCTAAGAAGCTGATGATCTCATGCAAATTAAGTGCAGCACTCTGTAAGTGCTGGGAAAATGGCAGCTGTAATTATCATTAAGATTCTATTTTTGAAGTTCCTAGATGCACAACTTCTGTGAGTCAATATATATAAAGCCCTTGGACTGGCACCAGACACCCAGGAAGTGCTCAAGAAGTGTAGCTGCGATTATAATTAAAGTCCTCTTTGTGGAAGTTCCTAGGCAATGTGGCCGCCAAGCAGCAACTGTCCCCTACAAACTGCTCTGCTTTCTGAATGCTTGGTTAAACTGCCTCTTCCAGGTTCCTTTGCAGTTAGCTGCAATCATAGAACTAATGTCTCCACAAAGGCACGTCAATGAGAGCACCGAGTACCACAGGTAGGCCAGGGCTCGTAAGAGAACACGTGTACTTCGCCAGGCTCCCTGTGCTCTTCCACCAGTAGGACCCAGGCCACGGCCATCCAGTCTGAACCATGGGGATGACAACAGGGTTAAGGGATGACCTGGATCCCCAAATCACCCACACTGGATTATTATGTGACCAAGAAACAATGTTCTGTTGTGTCTAAGCCTTTACATCATGGGACCTATGAGTAAATACATGGAAACCACATTGAACACCAGCACTTAGTAAATATTACTCATCCTGCCCATAACAATCCTGAGGTTCCCCAAGGAGCCCAGAGGGATGGTGGGATAAATGCCCAGGTGCATGTCTCTCTGTCTCTCTCTCTCTCTCTCTCACACACACACACACACACACACACACACACACACACACACACAGAACCAACACACACAGAATTTGACTTTTATTCTGGCCTTCACATATCTACTGCTAAGACAACACAGATTGGCAGGACCCCAGCCCCAGGACCACCGTGACCACCCCAATTTCCTCAGCCCCTCCTCCCACCCCACCCTTTCTGCCAAGTTCCCAGGGCTGCCTACACCTCACCCCGCGCATGCAGCATGAAGTGCCCATGCAGCTCCCCCAGGCTGTCGAAGGAATCCTCGCACTCCGTACAGTGGTAGGTGCCCTCCTCCTCCTCCTCCTCCTCCCCCCCCTCCCCCCCCCGCCCAGCTGGTCGGCCCTCCCCAGCCCGAGGCAGCTCCTCCTCTTCCTCCCCAAGAGCCCTGCCTTCAGGAGCCGGTGCTTCCTGGGGGGCTGTAGCAGGGCAGCAGAGCCGGCAAGGTGGGGTTCCTGGCGGGGCCTCCCCAAAGGGTGAGCGGCCACAGAGCTGGCAGGGCTGGGCCGGGGGGCCTGGGGGCTGGGCTGCACGGGGGGCCCGGCGGGATGGGGCCCCCCGGCCTCCCCCAAGGCGCTGCTTCACCTTGTAGCCAGGATCATATTCGGGATCATCAGTGGTCTCCTCTTCCTCCTCCTCCTCATCTTCTTCCTCTTCAGAGTCGGGCTCGGAGAGAGTGTATTCTGAATCGGAGGAATGTTCCGGGCCTGTAGGGGAGAGTTGGGGAAAGACAGTGGCATCAGAGGACAGAGGGCAATGCCCAGCTGCCCCATCCCCGAGTTCAGACCTACCACACACTATGGTGGGGATAACCTGGGCACAGCCCTACCCCTCCCCTCTGATGAGTCACAGTGGTGCACAACGGGGCCTCGCAGACAGGAGATGCTCTGTATCTGTGTGTCCAGGAAATGAATGTCTTCAAGAACTGCGTGGGGGGAGGTTTAGGAAGGACAGAGCAGGAGTCGCCCAAACACAACAGCAACAGCATCCACTGCTATTTGAGGAGGCCTGCCCTCTCATATTAACCTACTGAACCCTTACAATAACGCTCGGAGGGAGGCACTGCCACTATCCCCAGTTGATGAGCATGGAAACTAAGGCACAGGGCAGCCAGGTAACTTACTCACCTCTGGTCCACAGCTGACATGAGAAACTAAGTATCGGGGTGGCCTACAGTGAATCATGCTAGGGAGGCAGATATTTGAAACAGCATTTCGGTAAACTAAAGCATACAAGCACGTATGTATCTTAACACGTATGGCTATACAGAGAGTTAAGTGAATTAAAATATTAATTGTAAGTATAGACACATTATTGTAATTTCAAGGTATGAAGGACATGCCTAGGACAAGTTTAGGCTTAAAAAGAAAGGGTCAGCCGGGCTCGGTGGCTCAGCCTGTCATCCCGCGCCTTTGGGAGGCTGAGGTGAGTGGATTGCCTGAGCCCGCGGGTTGGAGACCCGCCTGGGCAGCGAGACCTCATCTTTACAATAAATCAAAAAATCAGCCGGGCGTGGTAGCGCGCGCCTGTAATTCCGGCTACTCGGAAGGCTGAGGCGGAAGGATCGCCGGAGCCCAGCGGGTCGAGGCTGCGGTGGCCGGGAGCGGCCACTGCACTCCAGTCTGGGTGACAGAGTGAGACTCAACTAAAAAAAAAAAAAAAAAAAGAAAGGGCCAGTGCGGTGGCTCATAATCCCAGCACTCTGGGAGGCCGAGGTGAGAGGATTGCCTGAGGCCGCAGGTTTGAGACCAACCTGGGCAACTTGGTGAGACCTCATCTCCACAATAAATAAAAAATTAGCCGGGCATGGTGGTACATGCCTATAGTTCCAGCTACTTGGAAGGCTAAAGCGGAAGGATCGCCTGAGCCCAGAAGGTCAAGGCTGCAGTGGCTGGGAGTGTGCCACTGCCCTCCAGCCTGGGTGACACAGTGAGAATCCTACTCAAAAAAAAAAAAAAAAAAGAAAAGAAAAGAAAGGAAGGCCAGGCACAGTAGCTCATGTCTTTAATCCTAGCACTTTGGGAGACCGAGGTAGGAGGATCACTTGAGCCCAGAAATTCAAGACCAGCCTGAGCAACATAGTGAGCCCTCATCTCTACAAAAAATTTAAAAATTAGCCAGGCGTGGTAGTGCACGCCTGCAGTCCCACTTAGAGAGGCTGAGGTGGTAGGATCACCTGAGCCCAGGAGGTCAAGGATGCAGTGAGCCGTGAAAGCACCACTGCACTCCAGCCCGGGGGACAGAGACCCCCCAACTCAAAATAAAAATAAGCAAAAAGGGAAAAAATTTAAAGTAAAAGAGGGTGACATCAGCCATCATTACAGGGGTGAACACACAGCAATGGCTGGGTTCAGGGGAGTCCCCATATCCACAATGTGGAAAATACCAGCTTCTTCAGTCACAGTGGCAGGACCCTGCCCAAAAGCATCTCACAGGACCACAATGCCTCGCCTTGTGTCCATGCTGGCTCCCCACCTCAGTTTCCTCCAGAAGCCCAAAGGGGTCCTTTCATCACCAAGCCAGGGCATCCTGTGCTCCACCTTGCTGCCATCTTCACAGGGACCACATGGCGCCCTCTCTAGCACTTCTGACCTCATCTTCTGCCCTTGTCAGCCACCCTGGGCTCCTCATCTTCTGGCAACACCCCAGGCACACAACTGCCTCAGGAACTTTGCCAGCCTTTCTGCAATGGACCAAGTTCGCTCTCTCCCGCTCCACTTCTCTGTTCAAGTGTCAACTTCTCAGTGACACCCTAACCACCCTGTCTAACCAGCAGTCCCTCCCCTGGACGCCCTGTACCCCTTCCTTGCTTCATTTCTCTCATCTTCTGCCTCATTTTACACAACAGTTACTTGTGTGTTTCTTTATTGACTGTCCCCAAGAGCAGGGAGTTCTCTGGTTCACTGTTGTGGCTCCACGATCTACAGCATTTTCTTTGTGCAAAGTGCTCAGTACTTTTTGTGGCATGGATGTCTCTGCAACCATCTGAAGGCTCTTCTGAAGCCTTCACACACACTGCTCCCTCTGCTGGGAATGTCCTGCCCCTGTTTTTCCCATCACCCTTTAGGACCCAGGAAGCGATCTTCTTTGGTGAGGCCATCCCAGACCACCTCATCCAGGCTTCCTACTGTCAGGCTTCCTACTGTCCTCCTGCTGTCCTAGCATGAGAAAAGGTTTTCACTACATCACCAGTCCGGAACGGGTTGTAAGTCTTTGCTGAACATCCCTCCCTGCAGCTCTGTCTCTCTCACTGGTTCCTGTCCCTGTCTTACCTCCCTGCCATTTAACAATTGTTTCCTCAGGCCTTGGTGTGGGCGGTCCTTCTGCCTGGAACACTGTTCCCTACTCTGTCCATCTGGCGACCTCATACTCATCCTTTGGGACCCAGCACAAGTTCCATCCTCTATGAAGCCACCACCCTCATGCCGCCAGCTCCTGGCCAGAGATCTCTTCCCAGCTCTCCCTGCTCCAGGACCTCCCTGTCACTGGCCTTGAGGCTGCAGCCAGCTGGGTCCCAGTATGTCTCTCCTATCAGACTGGGAACTCCTCAAAGGCAGGCCTGGCCTCCAGGTTCCTAACTCTGTCTGCCCTGCAGAGGACATGTGGACCAGTGGATGACAGCGGCCCCAAGGTGCTGATCTCTCTGCCCCATGTCTTTGCTCTGCTCCTCTCCCACCTGGGTGACTCTTTCCTTCTTCACTTCTCCAGGCAAACCCCTGCCCCTCTTTAAGGCCCAGTTCATGCCACCTCATCTATGAAGTCCTCCCTGACTCCCCAGGTGGTCAGTGTCTCTCACATCTGGGCTCCCCCACCCCATACCAGCCTCCATCACACCCTGGGCAGTGACCATGTCCCCACACCCTGACTGTGGGCTCCTCGAAGGCAGGACACGGATCTGACCATCTTTGTGCCCCAGCAATGCTGAGCCTGTGTCAGCCTCAGGAGACACCTGCTGAACGGCTGCAAAACAGAGAAAACACCTCCAGCCTCAGGCCAGAGCCCTTCCACTCTCCTCCCACCTCTGACTTCATACTATCCACCCTCCAAATGTCTTCAGTGCCCACTGTGACTTCACGCAGTTGGCCTGTGACACAGGCCACGTCGTCCACAGCTACCAGGTCTTTTATGTCTACTGTAACTTCCAAGACCACAAGCCCTTTCACACCCACCATGCCTTCTCCACCTAAGAGACCTTCAAAGCCCGGTATGCCTCTGGCATCCAGTGGACCCTCTACGCCCACTGTGGCTCCTATGCTTCAAGGCTCCTTGAAGACCACCAAATCAGCAACGCCTGGCATGTCCTCGGTGCCTGCGAAGCCATCAACATCCCCCAACACACCTATGAGCCCAAGTAGCTCCAGGTCCACCAAATCGACAAGCACTAAGAGAGCCCCTTCTAACCAGTCCAGTAGCAAGTCCCGAGTCCACAGCAAGGCAAGAACACCCAGGAGAGTCAGCACCGACACCAGGGCCAGCACCGACACCAGGGCCAGCACCGACACCAGGGCGAGCACCGAGAGCAGGACCAGCAAAGCCAGCAAGGCCAGTGGCTTAAGACGCCACCAGCACAGCCGGGGTAGAACACCTGGCAGAAGGGGAAGCCGCAGTTCTAAGAGGTCAGCCAGCAGGGCCAGCACTCCTGGCAGTATAAGAACTCACGGTGCCAGACCAAGCATGGGCAGCAGGGCAAGAACTCCTTCCTCCCTGCAAAAACAGAGTAGGGGAAAGAGCTACAGCCGGTCTAGAACCAGCAACAGGGAAAGGAGTCACAACCAGCCTAGAAACATGAGCAGAGAGAAGAGTGGCAGCCCCCCAGGAACCTCAGGTATGGGGAAGAGTTCCAGCCTGGCTGTAGTCCCCAGTAGAGCAAAGAGTCATAGCCTGACTAGAATCTCCTCCAAGGAGAAGGGTTGCAGCCAGTCTCCACCATCTTCGAGGAAGGTGAAGAGCTACAGTCAGGTGATGACCCCCAGGAGGGAACAGAGTTACAATCCCACTGAAGTGTCCAGCAGGGTCAAGAGTTATAACCAAGTTAGCACTCCCAGCAGGACCCAAAGTGACAGCCGGTCTAGCTCCCCCAGCAGGACCCGAAGTAACAGCCAGTCTAGCACCCCCAGCAGGATCCGAACTCACAGCAGGTCTAGAACCTCCAGAAGGGCAAGAAGTCACAGTCGGAAAAGGACTCACAGCAGGGCGAGAAGTCACAGTCAGGAGAGAAATCACAGTAGGGCAAGAAGTCGCACTCGGAAGAGAACTCCTAGCCAGATAAGAAGACATAGTCAGTCTAGAACCAACAGCAAAGAGAAAAGCCAAAACCAATCTAGAACCCCCAGAAGAGAAAGAAGTCACAACTGGTCTAGAACCCCCAGTGAGGAAAGAAGTCACTGCCAGTCTAGAAGCCCCAACAAGGAGACAGACCAAAGCCAACCTAGGTCCTCCAACAAAGAGAGAAATCACAAACATCCTAGAAGCCTCAGCAAGGAAAGAGATCACAGCAGATCTAGAACCTCCAGTGAGAGAGTTCATAGCCGATCCACATTCCCCATCAAGGAGATAACACGAAGCCAATCTACAACCCCCAGCACGGAGAGGGCTTGCAGCCAATCTAGGACCGCTAACCAAAAGAGAGGTCACAGATGTCCTAGAAGCCTCAGCAACGAGAGGGATCAGAGTCGATCTAGAACTCCCAGCAAGGAGAGAGATCACAGTCAATCTAGAACCAACAAAAAGAGAGGTGACAGACGTCCTAGAAGCCTCAGCAAGGAGAGAGATCACAGCCGATCTAGAACTCCCAGCAAGGAGAGAGCTCACAGCCGATCTAGAACTCCCAGCAAGGAGAGAGCTCACAGTCGATCTAGAACTCCCAGCAAGGAGAGAGCTCGCAGCCAATCTAGAACCTCCAACAAAGAAAGTGGACACAGGCGACCTAGGAGCATCAGCAAGGAGAGAGCTCGCAGCCGATCTAGAACCTCCAACAAAGAAAGTGGACACAGGCGACCTAGGAGCATCAGCAAGGAGAGCGCTCGCAGCCGATCTAGAAACTCCAACAAAGAAAGTGGACACAGGCGACCTAGGAGCGTCATCAAGGAGAGAGATCACAGCCGGTCTAGAACTCCCAGCAAGGAGAGGGATCACAGCCGATCTAGAACTCCCAGCAAGGAGAGAGCTCGCAGCCGATCTAGAACTCCCAGCAAGGAGAGAGCTCGCAGCCGATCTAGAACCTCCAACAAAGAAAGTGGACACCGGCGACCTAGGAGCATCAGCAAGGAGAGAGATCACAGCCGATCTAGAACTCCCAGCAAGGAGAGAGCTCGCAGCCAATCTAGAACCTCCAACAAAGAAAGTGGACACCAGCGACCTAGGAGCGTCAGCAAGGAGAGAGATCACAGCCGATCTAGAACTCCCAGCAAGGAGAGAGCTCGCAGCCGATCTAGAACCTCCAACAAAGAAAGTGGGCACAGGCGACCTAGGAGCGTCAGCAAGGAGAGAGATCACAGCCGATCTAGAACTCCCAGCAAGGAGAGAGCTCGCAGCCGATCTAGAACCTCCAACAAAGAAAGTGGGCACAGGCGACCTAGGAGCGTCAGCAAGGAGAGAGATCACAGCCGATCTAGAACGCCCAGCAACGAGAGAGCTCGCAGCCGATCTAGAACCTCCAACAAAGAAAGTGGGCACAAGCAACCTAGAAGCGTCAGCAAGGAGAGATATCACAGCCGATCTAGAATTCCCAGCAAGAAGAGAGCTCACAGCCGATCTAGAACTCCCAGCAAGGAGAGAGCTCACAGCCAATCTAGAACATCCAACAAAGAAAGAGGAGACAGGCGACCTAGGAGCCTCAGCAAGGAAAGCGATCACAGTCGAACTCCCAGCAAGGAGAGAGCTCACAGTCAATCTAGAACCTTCAACAAAGAGAAAGATCACAGATATTCTAGAAGCCTCGACATGGAGAAAGATCAGAGCCGATCTAGAACCCCCAGCAAGGAGAGAGCTCGCAGCCAATCTAGAACCTCCAGCAAGGAGAAAGATCCCAGTCACTCTGCAATCCCCAGAAGTCCCAATTGGAAGAGATCCCCTAGCACAACAAAGCATCCCAGTCAGAAGAGAACCCCTAGCAAGACAAGGAGCTACTCCCCATCAACAATTCCCAGTGGAGGCCAAAACTTAAGCCAAGATGAGAGTCAAGCCAGTGTCACCACCTCTAAGGCCACCTCACCTGGGGAAAGGTCTTCATCGTCTTCTTCCAAACTGGCATAGCCCCCAGTCTCAGCTGGCTCACGGGTCTCTGTCATGGCCGGGGGAGGGGACAGGAGACAGGAGCAGAGCAGCAGCTGAGCAGTGTCCCTCCCCAGCCAGGTCTCCACAGTCACACCTCTGGCCAGAAGTTCTTCTTTAATACAGGATGTTGGCAGGTAGGGATGCTGGACATGGGGAAGGAAAGGCCTGTGGTGACTCAATAAATTTTTACATAGCACCCATCCCCACCCCAAGCCCAGTTGTGTGCTCATTGCAGGGGGTGAGGCAAAGGCATCCCCAGCTCTGTCCCTGACTGCCTATAGGGCCTTGACTGCAAGCCCTGCCCCGATCTAGTCTTAATTTCCCCATCTGGGCAACAAGGCTGTCCTGTTGGATTTTTAAAAATTTTTTTATTTATTGTAGAGAAGAGGTCTTGCCAAGTTGCCTGACTGGTCTTGAACCCCTTGACTCAGGCAGTCCTCTCACCTCAGCCTCCCAAAGTGCTGGGATTACAGGCATGAGCTACTGAGCCCGACTGCCTTCTGGTTTTTTTCAATGGGGTAGGGAGAGGTGATATTTGACAGTAGGCACTACCATGGGCACCAATCACAACGAGAGTGGAACAGGAGCTACTGCCAGGCATTAATCCTTTAGTTGTCGGGCCGTGGAGAAGTCTTGGACTAGGGGAGTATCCAAGTGGCAGGTAGGAACTAGGTGTGATGACTCACACCTATAATCCCAG